CAATCAAGAGAAGACTTCACCAGAGTGAATACAGAGGGTTCACCACAAGATGTAAACCATTGGTGAGCCTCAAAAACAGGAAGGCCAGATTAGAGTTTGCCAAACGACATCTAAAAAAGCCTTCCCAGTTCTGGAAGAACATCCTATGGACAGATGAGACCAAGATCAACTTGTACCAGAGTGATGGGAAGAGAAGAGTATGGAGAAGGAAAGGAACTGCTCATGATCCTAAGCATACCACCTCATCGGTGAAGCATGGTGGTGGTAGTGTCATGGCGTGGGCATGTATGGCTGCCAATGGAACTGGTTCTCTTGTATTTATTGATGATGTGACTGCTGACAAAAGTAGCAGGATGAATTCTGAAGTGTTTCGGGCAATATTATCTGCTCATATTCAGCCAAATGCTTCAGAACTCATTGGACGCCGCTTCACCGTGAAGATGGACAACGACCCAAAGCATACTGCAAAAGCAACCAAAGAGTTTCTTAAGGGAAAGAAGTGGAATGTTATGCAATGGCCAAGTCAGTCACCTGACCTGAATCCGATTGAGCATGCATTTCACTTGCTGAAGACAAAACTGAAGGGAAAATGCCCCAAGAACAAGCAGGAACTGAAGACAGTTGCAGTAGAGGCCTGGCAGAGCATCACCAGGGATGAAACCCAGCGTCTGGTGATGTCTATGCGTTCCAGACTTCAGGCTGTAATTGACTGCAAAGGATTTGCAACCAAGTATTAAAAAGTGAAAGTTTGATTTATGATTATTATTCTGTCCCATTACTTTTGGTCCCTTAACAAGTGGGAGGCACATATGCAAACTGTTGTAATTCCTACACCGTTCACCTGATTTGGATGTAAATACCCTCAAATTAAAGCTGACAGTCTGCAGTTAAAGCACATCTTGTTTGTTTCATTTCAAATCCATTGTGGTGGTGTATAGAGCCAAAAATATTAGAATTGTGTCGATGTCCCAATATTTATGGACCTGACTGTATCTAACAATATATAAATCCTGATGTACTGACTGCTGATCTCATTTCTTGAGACCCAAAAACACCAGGACAGTACAAATAACCCCAAATGACCACTTTTTGGAAAGTAGACAGTCTGAGGTATTTAATAAGAGGCATGGCAAGTTTTTTGAAGTTTTTTTTTGCCATTTTGTGGAAAATGAAGAAATGAAAATTTTTTTTTACAATTTTTTTTTTACATACTGTCACCAGTGCAGTACAGAGTCATCATATAACTGGTGCGGTGGTGATCAGGGACAATGACTAGTGACATTATGTAGTAAAAAAAAGTTTAAAAAATTTTTTAAATTACATTTTTAATTATTCTTTTTTTTCTTTTTTTTTCCTACTCCTGTGACTAGAGCAATACAATGTTACCATAGTAACATTGTACTACTCTGGGCAAGTGATGAGGATTTTTTTTTCCACATTATGATTGCTTATATCAACAGATTTCATGGTATACGCAAGCATTTTTACTGAATGAAACCGATTTAATTCAGTAGTTTTTTTTGTTGTGATCAGCTGTGATTGGCCATACCTGATCACATGCTACAGATGGGCTGCGATTGGTTCAGTCTGTACATGTGATCCCTGTGACTAATCACAGCTCACAGCACAGTTGTAAGCAATGAATAACATGAAAGGAAGCCATTCATTGCTTACAACTGTCATGTGATCTGCTGTGATTGGCCACAGTGATCACATGACACTGGCAGCTACACGGTGTACTGATCTGTTGTTGGCTGTGTCCCGTGTTACACAGCCAGTGACAGATCGTGCTGGAGTGCATCCCGTGGCATGATCCTGGGAGGACATCATATGACATCCTCCCAGGAAAATAGTGTTCTTCCCACTTGGCCGTCATTGTATAATAGGCCTGGTGGGAGAAAGTTAAGAGTGTCCATGGGCCAGAAGGTTGGTACTAGGGTTGCCAGCTTTTCTTCAAGCCAAACCCAAACACTTTAGTGGCACACTGCAATTTTTACATTTCTGCTATGGACCTGTTTATTCAGCGATAACTTTGTCATTACTTAAAGCGGAGTTCCACTCAGCCTATCAAAAAAGCTGACTTTTAAAAAACAGCCACTTACCTGTCCCTCGGTCCTGTGGTGTTTCCCCCCCCCCCCCCCCCGCAGCTTGTTTCACCGGCCGTCCTGTATTCCAGGAGGCCGGCATCTTCAGTGTGGGTATCCAGCTGTGATAGCTTGCGGCTTCACAGCCGGGTGCCCACTGTGCATACGCAAGTAGCTCTGCGCTTCATGAACGGTCCTGTAGTCTTCTGGGACCTGCACGTGTCCCAAAAGACTACAGGGAGAGAGGACACCTTCCTCTTCTGATCACTTGGGCGATCGGACCGGAAGTGGGAGTGGGTACCTGTCAAATTCGGGTACCCGCTCCCCAAAGGTGCCAAACCTTAATGGGGAGCGGGAGGAGCAGTCCTTAAAGCGGAACTTCCCCTTTTGGGTGGAGCTCTGCTTTAAGATAAAAACATAATACATATATTGGTTTTTTTTAAGGACAAACAAGGCTTTTCATGAATATTATCTTGCAACAATGATTTTTTTTTTTCCGCAGTCCTTAAACAAATGTAACAAAATGCAGTTTTTCTTTTTTTGAGCAGTGTTGGTTTAAAAATATTGTTACTGCACATAGAAAGTTCAGATTTTATTCTGTAATTTGTCCTGTCCTGTTGGTTCAAAACATTGCAAAGTTATTTACAAATTAAAGTGGGTTTTTTTTTTCAGTTTTGTGAAGTTTGTAAATCTATGTTAACGTGTAGAAAAAAAAATAACGAACAAAACAAACCAAAAAGTTTAAATACTAGTTGATAAAAAAGAAACAAAAAAAAACAGCAGGAAAATAATAATTGAATGGAGAAGAAGGAGATTAAGGAATTATTTAGGGCTGATTAAAGTAAACTAAAGGGTTAGACAGAGGAACATTTACTTTAGATTTTTTTTTTTTTACTTGTCAGGTTGCTTTAACTGACTTCATCTGCAGATGAATAAACAGATACAAAATTAAAGATTGTTTCTTTTGAGCAATGTTGTTGATAAACATTGGGACTGTCTTAGTATGACAGCTCCAGCTGTCAGAACGTTCTCAGTGTACTCTGCTTTGATTAATCAGAGCTGCATTGCCAGTACCATGAGGGGGGAGGGGGGTCCTGGAAGCAGGGCAGAAAGACTGGAAATTTTACACAAGCAATGTGTACAACCATGACATATTTTTGGGCAAGTCTACATGTCCAGAGTCTGTACAATGGGTATATCAGGGTTCTCAAAGCCCCCCTTACATCGGAGTCTGCAGAGCATCCCTTACATCGGAGTCTGCAGAGCACCCCTTACATCAGGGTCTGCAGAGCACCCCTTACATCAGAGTCTGCAGAGCACCCCTTACATCAGAGTCTGCAGAGCACCCCTTACATCAGAATCCCCATTACCTTAGTGTACTCACTGGCTCTGAGAGAGGGGGGAAAACTTCACTCACAGACAGTGGATGGTGAGCTCACCCACACGAGGATGAAGGCTCATGCATTGGCACCTTTCATCCACAATGTATCTACTGGCTGCTGGACATACACCGAGGGGCAGGGGCAGACTGACCATTTGAGCACTCGGGCACTGCCCAAGGGCGCGGGCTCAGTAGGGGGCCCCATGAAATGCCCCTGGTATGGTTTATAGGCTTTTTTTGAGTGTGGGCGAGGACATAGGGGCCCCATGATTCCCTATTGCCTGGGGGCCCCATGAGTTGTCAGTCCGCCCCTGGGTAGGCGGTAGGGGCAGGAGAAGGAGGAGCAAATCCAGTCCTCTCTCCTGTCTGTGCCTGTTGGAGAGAACTGTGCTGGCTCTGGGCAGTGTGAGAGACTGTCACAGACATGGTTGCGGCGTGCTAGTGTGGGGTTAAAGTAAGTGGTGAGGAGGTAATATACCTCTTCACTGCCTATCAAATGTTCTCTGAAGAGTGATCCAAATACTGACTGCTCTTCAGAGAGCAAAGCATATGTAAATGAACACTTTTTTTTTTTTTCTTTAATTATAAAAATATTTAGTTTTTTTTTAACAGTTTTGGTGAAGTATCAGGGGTCTGTCTCACTTTTGAGATAGAGAAAGAAAATTAAAATGAGAATATAAATTCCTCAGTTCCTTTCTATGCAGCCTCTGTTGCACTGGACAGTGAATTTACAAACTGTAGCACTGTAAACATCTGCAGGAGGGGTAATCCCGGAGACAGGTGAATAGCAGGGATACAGTAGTGTCCCTAATCCAGGGGCGGATTGACAAATCATGGAGCCCCCAGGCAATAGGGGCTCATGGGGCCCCTGTGTCCTTGCCCAAACTCAAAAAAGCCTATGAAACAGGTACCAGGGGCATTTCATGGGGCCCCCTACTGACCCCGGGCCCTCGGGCAGTGCCTGAGTTTCCAAATGGTCCGTCCACCCCTGCCCCTATCTCTCTCTTCTTGCACAGGAACCTTTCCAGGAGGCTAATTCACTGTCCCTGACAAGCAAGGTTAGTCACCCTACTCTAGCCACTTGTAAGTGCACTATTAACACTGCCCATGCTAAAGATGGCCACCAAAGGTCACTAAGCGTTGCATTGTCCAATCAGACCACTGCTCCCCTAGTGACACCTAAAAATGTTCTTCCCAACCTACCCTCCTTCTGTACAGTGGCACAGCACACAGTGCCACCTACAGAATGGAGGACAAACTGCACCTGCCTACAAGCAAATTCAAAATGTGTTCCTTCCACCCTCTGCTGCCAAACTGGGTGTTGAGAGTCTTTTGTCAGGGAATCAGATAGCAACAGACTTTATGAGAATAGACATTCTAACATATAAAAATAATCTTGGTCATTTCATGCATGCATATCGCTCACATTTTTCAAACCTTACATTTTACATTGTCTGTAGTGCTCTGTGTACAATATCTTTACTGCACTTTACCCCATTTTCACACCTAAGTGTTTTCTGCAGTGATTTGCAGAAACGCACTACAGTCCATTTAACATGATTTCCTATGGGACAGGTTCACATCTCTGCGTTTTCACCCGGTGGGTTTTTTGTAAAGGGTCAGGGACTTTTTTAAATGCAAAAAGCTGCCTTTTTGGTTCTATATACTTCAATGGAAACTCTGCAGAAAAGCATGTACTGCATTTTTGCTGGTTTTTTGATGCGTTTTGATTTTAAAGTAGGTGTTGAGGAGGCAATATACCTCTTCACTGTCTATCAAATGCTCTGAAGAATGATCCAAATACTGACTTCTCTTCAGAGAGCAAAGCATATGTAAATGACGACTTATTTATTTATTTATTTTTTAAATGTTTTTTTTTTTTTTAACAGCCCTGTTGGGGGGCTTTGCTGAACAATCAGGGGTCTGTCTCACTTTTGAGACAGAGAAAGAAAATGAGAATATAAATTCCTCAGTTTCTTTCTGTGCAGCATTTTTGCTGCGTTTTGCGTTTTAAACCTACCTAGCAACAAGAAAAAAAAAAAAAAAAAACACAAAATGCATCAAAGATGTGGCAAAACTGCATGTGCATAAACGCACTGCAGAAATGGACCAAATGCAAGCTGCATAGGTGTGAACCTAGCCTCATATTTGGAGCTGAGACCACAGGAGACAAAGATCGCCCTGTACAGAGAGATGTTTTTTTTTTTCTTTTTTTTGTATTGTTTTCTTGTTTGAACAGTGAAGACATGTACTGCGTGACTCACTCCAGGCACATGACCTTCCATGTCATCTTTTCCTACCATCATGCTTTCCAGCTGAGTTCCTGTCAGTGTCATGTGACAGTGTATGTAAAGAGCTTTTATGGGGTTTAATAAAACATAAAACAAATGTGAAGAGCACAATTCTCTGTAATACACTTGGAAAGTAGATATGATACTCCTGTGTAATACAGAATACTAGAGGGCAGCTGTATCATCCTGTACAACATATTATGTTTAGGGGCTAGATCTGACACCACTGCAAATGTATTATACTTAGCAGATATGACACTGCTGTATAATATAATATATTTACAGAGTAGATACAACATTTCTATTCTGTAGAATATAATATAGAGAGTAGATATGATACTCCTGTGTAATATAATATAATATACACTGCAATATAATATAAGATTTTGGGTAGCACAGTGGCTAAATGGTTAGTACTTCCGCCTGGGTCGTTGGTTCAAATTCCAACCACGGCACCACCTGCTTGGAGTTTCAATGTTCTCCCTGTGGCTGCATGGGTTTCCTCCGGGTACTCCGGTTTTCCTCCCACACTCCAAAGACATGCTGGTAGGTTAATTGGCTCCTGTCCAGGGGCGGACTGACCATTTGGAAACTCGGGCACTGCCCGAGGGCCCAGGGTCAGTAGGGGGCCCCATGAGATGCCCCTGGTACCTTTTTCATAGGTTTTTTTTTGAGTTTGGGCAAGGACACAGGGCCCCATGATCCCCTATTGCCCGGGGGCCCATGAGTTGTCAGTCCGCCCCTGCTCCTGTCTAAATTGGCCCTAGTATGTGTATGTATGAATGTAAGTTAGGGACCTTAGATTGTACGCTCCTTGAGGGTTAGGGACTGATGTGAATGTACAATATATATGTAAAGCGCTGTGCAAATTGATGGTGCTATATAAGTACGTGAAATAAAATAAATTTCAAATAACAGGTGCAGGTACTCCCCCCTTCTGAGTCAACCCCTTGTCTGCCCCCCTTATACAGAATCAAGTATCATTTTGCCATGCTAAGCAATTTGTATGGAATTTGTTAATGATAATAAGAAAAGCAGTAAAATATCTCCCCCCCCCCCCGCAACAGTAAATCCCACAGCAAAAATAGACAACCAACAACAATAGATCTGCCAGCGGCCAGTAGCAATAGACCTCTCCCTCAACAGGGGATCCTTCCAAACAACAAATGCCCCCCCCCAGCAACATAAAACCTCCAACAGCAACAATAGACCTGCTCACAACAATAGACCTCCAGGAGCCAGTAACAACAGACCCTCCAGCAGACCCCAGCAGCTCTTGTCATTACATACTTTCAGTGCTGGAGGTTCCCCTGTGTTATTATTATTATACAGGATTTATATAGCGCCAACAGTTTGCTCAGCGCTTTACAATATAACGGGAGACAATACAGCAACCATACAGTTCAATAGAAGAGGGTCAGGAGGGCCCTGCACCTTGGAGCTTACAATCTAGCAGTGTTCTTGCTGAGAAAAGGCCTGGGTATGACACTCCAATATAATATAATATATCATATTATATCAGGTGTAGATATGGCACTGCTGTATACTATAGTATAATAGATTACAAAGAGTATTTATTTCAGGTACCTATATAGCGCTATCAATTTACACAGCACTTTACATATATATTGTACATTCACATCAGTCCCTAACCCTCAAGGGGTGTACAATCTAAAGTCCCTAACTCACATTCATATACAAGGGCCAATTTAGACAGGATCCAATTAACCTACCAGCATGTCTTTGGCGTGTAGGAGGAAACCGGAGTACCTGGAGGAAACCCACGCAGGCACAGGGAGAACATGCAAACTCCAGGCAGGTGGAGCCGTGGCTGAGATTTGAACCAACGACCCGAGTACTGCCAGGCAGAAGTAATGACAAATAATATATAGATGTAACACTGCTGTATATTATCATTTATACATAGGACACTCCTGATAATAGAAAATAAAACATAGATATGGCACTCCTGATAACATGATATAATAACAATAGAATGGATCCTCAATGCTCTAACCCCGGCATAGGCTTTCCTAGGTGTGGAGGTTGATATGGGCTGTGAAATAGTTAACATCTTGCCGGAGGTGAGATGCTTACATTGTATGAGCCGCATCTAGCCTGACGTCACTCGGTATCCCCGCCCCCTAGACCGAGGGCTCCCTTCCAGCATGCAGTGCGGCGGACAGTGACGTGTTCGGGGGGAATTATTGTCATCCTGATCCGAGGAGGAGGGAGAATAAGGAACGGTATGTGTCCTCCTTTGTCATCCCCATCCCCCCCGTACATCCTCCTACATAGTAGAGTCCGCAGTGTAGGCTGTGTGCTCTCCTTTCACTGATCAGATCACAGAGTGTACGGAGCGGAGGAGTGCTGCCCCCATCACCTACCCTGAGATCACAGAGTGTACGGAGCTGAGGAGTGCTGCCCCCATCACCTACCCTGAGATCACAGAGTGTACGGAGCGGAGGAGTCCTGCCCCCATCACCTACCCTGAGATCGCAGAGTGTACGGAGCGGAGGAGTCCTGCCCCCATCACCTACACTGAGATCGCAGAGTGTACGGAGCGGAGGACACCCGGCTGCCACAAAGAACTCCCCATATACTTCATGTCTTCTGTCTCCACATACAGGATATATAGAGAATGTTCTGCCCTATAATCAGCAGTGTCCCCCTGTGTATACATGTGGGGTATGTGTGACTTTTATATACAAATGTAAGAAGTCCTATAAAATCTATATATTGCTCCTGTATAGTGTCTCCTGATCTGTATACTGTGTGTATCTATAGTGTGTACGCTCTCCTGATCTGTATACTGTGTGTATCTATAGTGTGTACGCTCTCCTGATCTGTATACTGTGTGTGTATCTATAGTGTGTACGCTCTCCTGATCTGTATACTGTGTGTATCTATAGTGTGTACGCTCTCCTGATCTGTATACTGTGTGTATCTATAGTGTGTACGCTCTCCTGATCTGTATACTGTGTGTGTATCTATAGTGTGTACGCTCTCCTGATCTGTATACTGTGTGTATCTATAGTGTGTACGTGATCTGTATACTGTGTGTATCTATAGTGTGTACGCTCTCCTGATCTGTATACTGTGTGTATCTATAGTGTGTACGCTCTCCTGATCTGTATACTGTGTGTATCTATAGTGTGTACGCTCTCCTGATCTGTATACTGTGTGTATCTGTAGTGTGTATCTCTCCTGATCTGTATACTGTGTGTATCTATAGTGTGTACGCTCTCCTGATCTGTATACTGTGTGTATCTATAGTGTGTACGCTCTCCTGATCTGTATACTGTGTGTATCTATAGTGTGTACGCTCTCCTGATCTGTATACTGTGTGTATCTATAGTGTGTACGCTCTCCTGATCTGTATACTGTGTATCTATAGTGTGTACGCTCTCCTGATCTGTATACTGTGTGTATCTATAGTGTGTACGCTCTCCTGATCTGTATACTGTGTGTGTATCTATAGTGTGTACGCTCTCCTGATCTGTATACTGTGTGTGTATCTATAGTGTGTACGCTCTCCTGATCTGTATACTGTGTGTATCTATAGTGTGTACGCTCTCCTGATCTGTATACTGTGTGTGTATCTATAGTGTGTACGCTCTCCTGATCTGTATACTGTGTATCTATAGTGTGTATGCTCTCCTGATCTGTATACTGTGTGTATCTATAGTGTGTACGCTCTCCTGATCTGTATACTGTGTGTGTATCTATAGTGTGTACGCTCTCCTGATCTGTATACTGTGTGTGTATCTATAGTGTGTACGCTCTCCTGATCTGTATACTGTGTGTGTATCTATAGTGTGTACGCTCTCCTGATCTGTATACTGTGTGTATCTATAGTGTGTACGCTCTCCTGATCTGTATACTGTGTGTATCTATAGTGTGTACGCTCTCCTGATCTGTATACTGTGTGTATCTATAGTGTGTACGCTCTCCTGATCTGTATACTGTGTGTATCTATAGTGTGTACGCTCTCCTGATCTGTATACTGTGTATCTATAGTGTGTACGCTCTCCTGATCTGTATATATATGTATGTGTGTGTGTGTGTGTGTATATATATATATATATATATATATATATATATTAGTGGGGATCAAAAGTTTGGGCACCCCAGCTAAAAATTTGTATTAATGTGCATAAAGAAGCCAAGGAAAGATGGAAAAATCTCCAAAAGGCATCAAATTACAGATTAGACATTCTTATAATATGTCAACAAAAGTTAGATTTTATTTCCATCATTTACAAAATAACAGAAAACAAAAAATGGCGTCTGCAAAAGTTTGCACACCCTGCAGAGTTAATATCTTGTACTGCCCCCTTTGGCAAGTATCACAGCTTGTAAACGCTTTTTTGTAGCCAGCCAAGAGTCTTTCAATTCTTGTTTGAGGTATCTTTGCCCATTCTTCCTTACAAAAGTCTTCCAGTTCTTTGAGATTTCTGGGCTGTCTGTCACGCACTGCTCTTTTAAGGTCTATCCATAGATTTTCAATTATGTTGAGGTCAGGAGATCGTGAAGGCCATGGCAAAACCTTCAGTTTACGCCTCTTGATGTAATCCCCCGTGGATTTCGAGGTGTGTTTAGGATCATTATCCATTTGTAGAAGCCATCCTCTCTTTAACTTCAGCTTTTTCACAGATGGCATCAAGTTACCATCCAAAATTTGCTGAAATTTTATTGAATCCATTTTTCCTTCTACTCGTGAGATGTTCCCTGTGCCACTGGCTGCAACACAACCCCAAAGCATGATTGATCCAACCCCATGCTTAACAGTTGGACAGAGGTTCTTTTCATTAAATTCTGTGCCCCTTCTTCTCCAAACGTACCTTTGCTCATTCCGGCCAAAAAGTTCAATTTTAACCTCATCGGTCCACAGAACTTGTTTCCAAAATGCATCAGGCTTTTCTATATGTTCATTTGCAAAGTTCAAACGATGATTTTTGTGGTGAGGACGTAGAAGAGGTTTTCTTCTGATGTTTCTTCCATGAAGACCATATTTGTACAAGTATCTCTTTATAGTGGAATAGTGTACCACAACTCCAGTGTCTGCCAGATCTTTCTGGAGGGATCGTGCAGTCAAACATGGGTTTTGAATTGTTTTTCTCACAATCCTGCGAGCTGTTCTGTCTGATATTTTTCTTGGTCTTCCAGATGTTGCTTTAACTTCCACTGTCCCTGATGACTGCCATTTCTTAATTACATTCCGAACAGAGGATATTGACATCTGAAAACGCTTTGCTATCTTCTTATAGCCTTCTCCAGCTTTGTGAGCGTCAACTATTTTCAGTTTCAGTTTTCTAGACAACTGCTTAGAAGAACCCATGGTGCTGATTGTTGGGGCAAGGTCAGATGAGTCTGGGCATTTAAAACCTTTGAGATTGACATGACCTGGTCTTCCCAGACGATGATTGAGAACAATCCATGACACTGGCAGGTCTCAGCTTGGCAAAGGGGGCAGTACATGCTATAAATTCTGCAGGGTGCCCAAACTTTTGCAGACGCCATTTTTTTGTTTTCTGTTATTTTGAAAGTGTAAATGATGGAAATAAAATCTAACTTTTGTTGACATATTATAAGAATGTCTAATCTGTAATTTGATGCCTTTTGGAGATTTTTCCATCTTTCCTTGGCTTCTTTATGCACATTAATACAAATTTTTAGCTGGGGTGCCCAAACTTTCGATCCCCACTATATAAATATTTATTTATTTTTTTATATATATATATATATATATATATATATATATATATATATATATATATATATATATATATATATATATATATATATATATATATATGTTTTAATATAATTATATATAAATATATATATATATATATATATATATATATATATATATATATATATAAATAAAAATCCGGTGAATTAACAGGCAAGTACCCAGCATGGTGCATGAGAGCAGTGGCTCTCTGTGCTCTGTCCCTCTTCACAGGACAGATCCATAACAGAGGGAGCCATTGGCTCCCATTGCTGTCATTCATACTCTGTGGTGGGAGGGTAGGCTTTTCCCTGCTGTCTGTCTATGGATGCAGGCAGCGGAGTGCAGGAGCAAGCCTGCATCAGTGCCCCCATTGGAGGCGGCTTCCTAAGAGGGCATTGGATGGAGAGGAGGAGCTAAGAGCATCGGCAGGGGACCCAACAATAGGAGGATTGGGGCTGCTCTGTGCAAAACTATTACCCAGAGCAGGTAAGTATAACATGTTTCTTATTTTCATTAAAAAACAGCCGAAGCAGCAGCTTTACAATCACTTTAAAACAAAGTCTGTCACCGCTGGCAGTCGCTGGTCTTCCTTCTGGGTTCAAGGGCTGTGAACATTCGAATGGCTGGGTCACTACCACGAATGTGCACGGGAGTCATGGTTGTGGCACATTGCTCTCAGTGGGCAGCATACTCCAGTATGTGTCCCATTCAGCACAGTGCGCATGTGACGGTGACATCACTGGCCTCTACAGAACTGAATATCTCTGAAACTGTACACGTTTAGGGGATATTCACTGTGACTCCAGGTAAGCTTCATTATAAGCTCATAAAAAGTCAGAAAGCTCACTATTAACATTTTGAAAAAGAAAAATGCGCTTAGGAGGTGAGGCAGCCATTTTGGGCACACTTAGCTGAGCCAATCAATTTACCAGCTTCTTTTTGAAGTGTGGGAGTAAATTGAAGTTCTTGGGAGAAAGCCCACGTAAGTATAGAGCAGGGGCGGACTGACAACTCATGGGGCCCCCGGGCAATAGGGGATCATGGGGCCCCTGTGTCCTTGCACAAACTCAAAAAAGCCTATGAAAAAGGTACCAGGGGCATCTCATGGGGCCCCCTACTGACCCCGGGCCCTCGGGCAGTGCCCAAGTTTCCAAATGGTCAGTCCGACCCTGGTATAGAGAGAACATGCAAACTCCATGCGGATGGTTTCATAGACAGGATTGGATTCAGAGGACCCCCAGTGTTGCAAGGTAGGGGTGCTAACCTCTAAGTCACTGTGCTGTAGCTATCAAAGTACAACATCTTGATCTGTATACTTTGGGGTTATTGACTGAGAAAACCTGATGGATTAGCAAAGCTGCCAGGCAAATAGCATTTTCAGAAGATCTGTGAAGGAGGTCCATATATTGCTCAGCACAGAATCCTGTACAGTTTGTTGTTTCTGGCTGTCTTCACTGAGGTGGACCTGTCAGTGACTTTACACGACTGATAGCACAAAATCCAGCAACAATGTTACTTATAGGAAAATGCGCACTTTCTTTTTATTATAGGCCAGCCTTGAGATCCGTCCAAGTAATGTTATCTAGGCGGAGATGAAGTCCAGTCTCCTGCAGGCAAGGGAAGCATTTCCTTCAGTCATCAGGCTGTATATTGTAAAGCTGGCCATATACTAATATATTCATCTTACAGATTCCTCCATCCACTCTAAACACAGCAAATGGACAAATCTCCCGCTTAGGCTGTTGTATTATGACAGCTGTCAGAATACAGTGGAATCTGTCAGAGGATGACTGCAGCTGATTGGCTGCCATCACTAGCTGAGAATTATCTGCAGGGACTGATCTGTGTCAGGCATTGTGAACACAGGCAAGATTTACAATGTCATCAATAGTAATATGTTAGCTTGGGAACATTTAACATATAATATATATCTGCTGCTATATCCTTTTAAAAGATAAGTGAACTTTAAGGTAATACTATGGAGGAACTTCACACAACCCTTCTGCCGCCGCCCCCCCCCCTTTGTTATTTTTTTCCATACCATCTTCCTTTTCATACTGGGATTTCATCAAGAGACCTACTCACCCGCTAGGTGATTCCAACTCCTGCTAGGGATTCGCTGCTTCATATCAGCCCCCCCCCCACCCCACCATCTTTCTCTCCTGTGTCATCTGGAGCGGGCTGTCTCCCCCAGGTTCCGGTGTCTATACCTCTGACGTGGATATCCCAGGAGGCTGCAAGAGCAGGGTGATGTCACTCTCGCCTAGATGACAATGGAGACAGAGAACAGTTTGGACCATAGAACAAAAAAAAGGTAAACAAAAAAATTCTGTTGGCTATTTTAGGTTAAGGAGAGATGATGGAAAGGTGTATTTTAAAAGTAAAAGTCCACTTTAACAAATCTGCATGAATAAATTTCAGGTCACAGCATGCAAAGTTCATGTTCTTTTTCTGATGTCACCAGACTGCATTTGTAAGTCTTCTATCACCCAGTGATCTCTCAGACTGTTCACTGTAACTTTGTAGCAAGTCACACGGTGAGAGGCTGCAGCAGGGGCTGGTCTGTGTCAGGCATTTGTGAACATAGCCACAAACTACCAGAGACACCAGGAGTTGCATCATTTTTGAGCCAGCATCTCAATCTAGGAAGTAAATCTTAACCCTGGACAACACCTACACAAAGTATAGTTCTAGTCTTCTGGAGAGAAAAGCAAAACATTCTCAGGTGGAGTACAGTGATCTCTGTGAATACCTGGAACTTAACGTGCATGCCCCTGCCTGCAATATATCTGATGCTAGGTAATTCTAATGACCATTAATAACTATAACTAGGTAATAAATGATAACTATTAATAACTAGGACTAGCTAATAATTAAACTATAATAACAGATTATTTTTCTATACAGGCAATATGTGGAAATCCCTCTAAACAGAGAATCCGCAATTCGTACACAAGGACGGTTGAAGCTGTGGGACGCAGAGCGGTAGGGTGCACAAAACGCAATCCCAAGCATTTCCGCTGCCGTCACTCTGGGACTTGAAGGCTCCAATATGAGCACAGTGCAACCAGACGCTGCAGCCCAGGAGAACAGTGCAAGCACTCAGGACGATGGCATGACTTGGTGGTATCGTTTGCTATGTCGGCTTGCAGGTGTCCTGGGCGGTATATGTAAGTCTACATTTTACGTATCAACTCAAAATCATCACAAGGGTATATAAGGTACATCACAAAGCCACCATGATCTACCTGCTCTGCAATGGGTCCGGTGATGACAATAAGGTGTTCAAATAAAACATTTCCAAATAAAACATTTCCAATGCCGTCCATTTTCTGGATAAAACAGGTCTGAACTAGGAAAGAAAATCTGGCTCCCAAGATGCACTGGGAACTTTCTCGGATCTGATCTTGCATGAGTTTTTCTGCCATTGTAATGTAGTGAAGGGGAGCAGTACAGGCTCATAGTTTAGTAGGATATAAAGAGGGCTTATGCTTTGGGGGGGGTGGGGGGCAGTGCTGGCTGTGTTCCTTACCTGCCTGTCAACTCTAACTGCCACTGGTGCTCTCCTCCTTTACCCAAAGCTCCAGGCTGTGGGCAGAGCCGTACATTGGTCAATTTTTGAAGTATTTTTCAATCGAAAATCGGACCTAAGAATAATTGGCTGATTTTTCGCTCTGTTAGTGGGGCAATGGCACCAGCCAATTTTTGTGGTTCCTCCCCATTTCGTTTATCAGGCATGCTGGAAAATTTGTGAAAAACGACCGATATTTGGAAATCATTGGTGGCACCATCGGATTACAGAACGGACAAAGTTTTCGATTTTTGATAAAAAAAATCGTTCAGAATTCGACCCATGTATGGCCAGCTTTAGCACCATCATGTACAATGCAGAGGCTAGGATGCAGGTGCAGCTAATCTACACTTACAGAGGCAGATGCAGGGGACTGGTTGCAGCACTGCAGGGTCCCTGCCGATGTGAGGAGTCAATCCCCCTAGACATAGTGAGCATTTAACCCTTGCAGTGTGTGTTTGCTGGGGGGAGGGCACTGCAATGGTAGACTTTTTTGATACTCCTGAAGTGTTCACGTGTTGCATGCAGGGTATATAAACAGCGGTCAGTATAGAAAAAAGTGGAATGAGCAAGGTCAAAAGACTTCTTAAAAATTATATATTTCTTGAGAGTTTAGGTAGCCATGGGCCAGTAGAATTACAATTCCCAGGATGCACTGCAGGATGTGTTGGGCTTTGTGGCTCCTCAGCTGCTGGGTAGCCATAGACAAGATATATATTTGGTTTGCAGTGATGATCCTTTAGCCCCACCCCCACCCCCTCATCTAGACCTGTATACATCCAAAAATAGTTTTGTCAAGTCATTTGGGTGACATTTATTGCACAAGTTGTGCAATGTAAGCACAACGGTGATCTCTCCCATCTGTCTGTGTGAATGTGGCTGCAGCTTTTCATTAAGTTGGAACTATGGTCAAAATCAAAAATGATATAATATGACTTGGCAAAATTAATGTTGTTGAGCAGATCTGCAGGTAAAAAAACTTTTGTTGCAGCAAGAATTAAAAGAAAAAAAAACGTACTATGTCAATGCAGTTGTCCATCTGCATTATACAGGTCACTTTATTTTTGCCCATAGTTATTTAATTAATAATATATTTATATCTTAAAAATATATAATAAAAAAAAAAAAAACAGTATTGGATATATATACACACACATTATATTGCCAAAAGTATTGGTCGGCCTGCCTTTACACGCACATGAACTTTAATGGCATCCCAGTCTTAGTCCGTAGGGTTCAATATTGAGTTGGCCCACCCTTTGCAGCTGTAACAGCTTCAACTCTTCTGGGAAGGCTGTCCACAAGGTTTAGGAATGTGTCTATGGGAATGTTTGACCATTCTTCCAGAAGCACATTTGTGAGGTCAGGCAAATGTGTTCTATCGGGTTGAGGTCAGGACTCTGTGCAGGCCAGTCAAGTTCCTCCACCTCAAGCTCGCTCATCCAGGTCTTCAGGGACCTTGCTTTGTGCACTGGTGCGCAGTCATGTTGGAGCAGGAAGGGGCCATCCCCAAACTGTTCCCACAAAGTTGGGCATGAAAATGAAATTGTCCAAAATGTCTTGGTATGCTGATGCCTTAAGAGTTCCCTTCACTGGAACTAAGGGGCCAAGCCCAACCCCTGAAAAATAACCCCACACCACAATCCCCCCTCCCCCCAAACCTTACATTTGGCACAATGCAGTCAGGCAAGTACCGTTCTCCTAGCAACTGCCAAACCCAAATACGACCATCAGATTGACAAAAAAGTGTGATTCGTCACTCCAGAGACAATCTAGAGTCCAGTGACGGTGTGCTTTACACCACTGCATCTGACACTTTGCATTGTACTTGGTGATGTAAAGCTTGGATGTAGCTGCTCGGCCATGGAAACCCATTCCATAAAGCTCTCTATGCACTGTTGTGCTAATCTGAAGGTGCTTGATTTTATACACCTGTGGTCATTGAGGTGATTGGGACACCCTTCCAAATCATTAGATTCAGGTGTTCCAATCACCTCCATGGCCACAGGTGTATACAATCAAGCACCTAGGCATGCAGACTGCTTCTACAAACATTTGTGAAAGAATGGGTCACTCTCAGGAGCTCAGAGAATTCAAGCGTGGTACCGCTCACCTGAGCAATTCATCCGTGAAATTTCCTTGCTACTAAATATTCCACGGTTAATTGTTAGTGATATTATGACTAAGTGGAAGCAACTGGGAACAGCAGCAACTCAGCAATGAAGTGGTAGGCCACGTAAAATGACAGAGCGGGGTCAGCGCATGCTGAAGCGCACAGTGCACAAAAGTCACCAACTGTCTGCAGAGTCAATAGCTAAAGACCTCCAATCTTTGTGTGGCCTTCAGATTAGTACAACAAGAAGTGAATAGAGAGCTTCATGGAATGGGTTTCCATGGCCAAGCAACTGTATTCAAGCCTTACATCACCAAGTGCAATGCAGTGATGTAAAGCACACCACCCCTAGACTCTAGAGCAGTGGAGACATGGTCTCTGGAGTGACCAATCATGCTTCTCTGTCTGGCAATCCAATGGACATGTCTGTGTTTGATGGTTGCCAGGAGAACCGTACTTGCCTGACTACATTGTGCCAAGTGTAAAGTTTGGTGGAGAGGGGATTATGGTGTGGGGTTGTTTTTCAGTGGTTGGGCTTGGCTCCCTAGTTCCAGTGAATGGAACTCTTAAGGTGTCAGGATATGAAGACAGTTTGAACAATTTCATGCTCCCAACTTTGTGGGAAGGCCCATTTGGGGATGGTTGATTTTTGTTCCAACACGACTGCGCACCAAGGCCCAAAGCAAGTCCATAAAGACATGGATGAGCGAGTTTTGGGTGGAGGAACTTGACTGGCCTGCATAGAGTCCTGACCTCAAGCCGATGGAACACCTTTGGGATGAATTAGAGCAGAGACTGCAAGCCAAGTCTTCTCATCTGACATCAGTACCTGACCTCACAAATGCTCTTCTGGAAGAATGGTCAAACATTCCCATAGACACACTCCTAAACCTTGTGGACAGCCTTCCCACAAGAGTTGAAGCTGTTATAGCTGCAAAGGGTGGGCCAACTCAATATTGAACCCTACGGACTAAGACTGGGATGCCATTAAAGTTCATGTGCATGTAAAGGCAGGCCGACCAATACTTTTGGCAATATAGTATGTGTGTATATATATCCAATACTGTTTTTTTTTTTTTTTTTTATTATATATTTTTGAGATATAAATATATTAATTAAAACTGAACTATGGGCAAAAATAAATGTGTGTTTAAAGGCAGGCGGCCCAATACTTTTGGCAGTGTGTGTGTGTGTGTGTGTGTGTGTGTGTGTGTGTGTTTTACCTCTGAACTGAATTTTAGGGAACTGAAAAAACTACCTGTGTGGTGATTCTTCTAGCACTGCAAAGGTTAAGTGCGCATTTTTGTCTAGGGTGCCATTAAAAAGCACATTCTTTCTTTCCTTCTCATTTACTCCTGCAGGCTCCTCCCCCTCCTCCGGTGTCTCCTCTCTGTGACACGCTGTCCATCAGTAGCACTCTGACATCATCACTTACAATGCAGGAGTAGCAGTCCTGCATTGTAACTGAGCATGTTAAGAGCTTACCCTGTAACCCGAAGCATCAGAGGGAGGAGGAGGAAGCCTGCTGTTGGCAGAACAAGGGAGAAGGTAAGTAAACAAGCATGCGGGGAGCCCCACTTCAAGGGTAGTTTATTTTTTTTTTTTTTTTTAATTTTTGTAGTTTCCTGAAGATCAGCTAAAGTAATATACTGATGTTTAATTGGGTTTCTCCTAATTTTTTTTTTTCTGCCTGCGTCATAGTTGGGTGTCAGTCAGGGGCGGACGGACCATTTGGAAACTCGGCACTGCCCGAGGGCCCAGGGTCAGTAGGGGGCCCCATAAGATGCCCCTGGTACCTTTTTCGTAGGCTTTTTTGAGTTTGGGCACAGGGGCCCCATGATCCCCTATTGGCCATGAGTTGGGGGCCCCATGAGTTGTCAGTTATTTTTCTTTATTTAACCTATCCTGGATGTGCAAGACATACAGTTGCAAGAAAAAGTATGTGAACCCCTTGGGATTACGTGGAGTTTTGCATGAATTGGGCATAAAATGTGCTCTGAACGTCATCTAAGTCACAATAGAAGAACACAGTCTGCTGAACATAATACTACACAAACATTAGATGTTGCCATGGTTTCATTGCACATAACATGTAAACATTCACAGTGCAGGGAGGAAAAAGTATGTGAACCTTTGGACTTAATAACTGCTTGACCCTCCTTTTGGCAGCAATAACCTCAACCAAACGTTTCCTGTAGTTGCAGATCAGACCTGCACAACGATCTGGAGTAATTTTGGACCACTCCTCTTCACAAAACTGTTTCAGTGTAGCAATATTCTTGGGATGTCTGGTGTGAATCGCTCTCTTAAGATCATGCCACAGCATTTCAATCGGGTTGAGGTCAGGACTCTGACTGGGCCACTCCAGAAGGCGTATTCTGTGCTGTTGCAGCCATTGTTTTGTTGAATTACTTGTATGCTTTGGGTCATTGTCCTGTTGCATCACCCATCCTCTGCGGAGCTTCAGTTGGCGGACAGATGGTTGTACGTTTTCCTGCAAAATGTCTTGATAAACTCTTGAATTCATTTTCCCATCAATGACAACAATCCGCCCAGGCCCTGAGGCAGCAAAGCAGCCCCAAACCATGATGCTCCCTCCGCCATGTTTTACAGTGGGATGAGGTTTTGATGTTGGTGTGCTGTGCCTTTTTTTTCTCCACACATAGTGTTGTGTGTTCTTCCCAAACAACTCAATCTTGGTTTCATCTGTCCACAGTATATGTTGCCAGTAGTGCTGTGGAACATCCAGGTGCTCTTTTGCAAACTTCAAACCTGCTGCAATATTCTTTTTGGACAGCAATGGCTTCCTCCGTGGTGTCCTCCCATGTACTCTATTCTTGTTTAATGTTTTCCTTATTGTAGATGTGTCAACAAAAATGCTAGCATGTGCCAGAGATTTCTGTAGGTCTTTAGCTGACACTCTGGGATTCTTCTTTACCTCATGCAGCATTCTGCGCTGTGCTCTTGCAGTCATTTTTACAGGATGACCACGCCTAGGGAGAGTAGCAACAGTGCTAAACTTTCTGCATTTGTAGACAGTCTGTATTACTGTGGACACATGAACATCAAGGCTTTTGGAGATACTTTTGTAACCCTTTCCAGCTCCATGCAAGTCAACAATTCTTGATCGTAGGTCTTCCGAGAGCTCTTTTCTGCGAGGCATGGTTCACATCAGACAGTGCTTCTTGAAACCAGTAAACCCAAAACAGGTGTGTGTTTTTTAAGGGCAGGACAGCTGTCAGCAACACATCCAATATCATCACACTGATTGGAGTCAAGGTTGGCTCACTCCTGGCTCCAATTAGCTCTGGGAGAAGTCATTAAGCTAGGGCCTCACATACTTTTTCCTCCCTGCACTGTGAATGTTTACATGTTATGTGCAATTAAACCATGGCAACATCTATTGTTTGTGTAGTATTATGTTCAGCAGACTGTGTTCTTCTATTGTTGTGACTTAGATGACCTTCAGAGCACATTTTATGCCCAATTCATGCAAAACTCCACGTAATCCCAAGGGGTTCACATACTTTTTCTTGCAACTGTACATGTTTGCATCCTCTCAGCTGATGCCATGCAGTAATTATACACTTCTGAGCCTCTCTGTGCCACGTCACTGTGTGTCACCCCTGTGCGGCTGATGTTCCACCAGCAGAGAAGACTTGGAACTGTGTCCCCCTGCTGTGCCCTGTCAGCTGAGACGAGTGGGTGTATCGTATGTGCCATGCAGAATTAATGAGCACCCGCCATCACACAATGCTGGTGTTCAGTTCGGAAAGACTCCCCCCATTCCCCGCTCAAGTCTTTGTTTTCTTCTGTGCTCCTCAGTTAAAGGGACAAGCGTACTGAGCAATCAAAAGCTGTGAAATTGTTTGATTTTATACAAATGTTGCATTTTGTACTGGTGAACATGAAGGAATGTTTATCTGAGATGAACATAACAGTAAAAGCTATGGAGGAGCCAGGTATTTTAGCAGCCATGATGCTGGGTCAGGCCAGCTATAGGACAATACACTCAGTGTAGGCCAGTTATAGCAGATACATTGTGGTGACATGACAGCTATACGGATGTGTGCTGTGTTGTCTCTGCCTCTTCCTCATGGCTGTAGGCTAAGTGTGGGTGAGAGGGACCTCTTGCTTCATTGTGCAGATGAGAAGTAAATAATTATAGTGTATCTAAACCCTATCACAGAAATGTAATACATTGCAGCTTACCAGCTTTTAGATGTAGTGGCTGCATTAGTTTTCTTTATTCAGGCATTTTTTCTTTATTTTTACCTGGTGATCCTGCTATTAGCACACATCCTGTTCAAAGGTGACAGTGCTATGGAGGAGCATTGCTGTCACCCTAGGCTGCTCACACACACTGATTTGGACAACAGAACTCAGCCCTCTCTCCTCATCTCTATAACATTAGAGTGATATGTTCTGTAGTCCAGCAGGGAAGGAGTTGGGGTGATAACTGTGCTTGGTGAGGTAATGCAGGGGAAGTTGGGAGCTCATTTTATTTCAGGCAGGATCAATAGATGTTTTCATTCACTTGCAGCTTTTTTTTAAAGAGGCAAAACAAACATTTCTCCCTTGATATTTTTCTCTAAAAAAAACCTCCAACAGAATCCTGTTTGTAAGTAGATGTGGAACATTGTTAATGATCATAGAGCTGGTTCAGATCTGTTCAGTTATGTCATGATGAGGGAGGGGTGTTTTTTTTTTTTTCTTTTTCTTCCATGTATTGCTGACTGTATACAGGAACAGGTGGTTGACATAATATTGGGGTTTTATAATGTATTACATGGATTCAGTTTAGATTCCTGTTGACACTTTTCTGCTGGTGGAACCCAGCACTTTAAGGGAATCTGCAGCCTGGTAGGCAGACTCCCGATCAGGGGCGGACTGACAACTCATGGGGCCCCCAGGCAATAGGGGATCATGGGGCCCCTGTGTCCTTGCCCAAACTCAAAAAAGCCTATGAAAAAGGTACCACGGGCATCTCATGGGGCCCCCTACTGACCCCGGGCCCTCTGGCAGTGCCCGAGTTTCCAAATGGTCAGTCCGCCCCTGCTCCGATCATGTGATCACTATAATTGACTGTAAAGCTAGGTTTACACTCATGCGGTGCTGTACATCGCATGTGATTCGCACAGGAACTGCATCGCACTCCTGTGCAAATCACATGTGATTTGTGTGCGGTGCGATTGGAGCCATACATTATGTATGGCTCCAATCGCACCGCATCAGCACCAAAAAGGTGCAGGACCTTTTTTTGGGTCCCCACTAGAATCAGATTGCATGGGTATTCAAACCTATGCAATCCAATTCTGCACATCGCACTGCATTTTACGGACCAATTTCAGGGTGTTGTTAACTTAACATACACACCTGCAGCAGTTTGCATGAACGGGGTGCGATTGTGATGCGGTGCGGAATTCGCACAGAAAACGCTGTGAATTCCGGACCACATCAGTGTGAACCCAGGCTAACGGTGATCACATGGTCTGTAGCCCAACCTACCGATTGAAAACTTTGACAAGGAGCTGTTGCTGACAGCTTGGCCACAACACTGTCCGAGTTGGGGGGTCTGAGTGAGTGCACTCCCAGCACAAGACTGCGGCACTATCTGTATGCATTTATGTAGAGCCCACTGCTCTGTTGCCACATATGTGCATACACCCATTAGTAAGGGGTTAATCAAGGCAGTCTCCTGCAGAGGAAATTGAGGTGGCTCAGCTTTTTGATCAAGTGATAGTCTCTTTCATATGGTAAGGTAGGGCAGTGAAATGATCAACCTGGATAAAGTTTTGAGGGCTCATTGTTTCATTTAGATCTGTTCAGACTTCTGAAGTATTCATAAGTCCCGGGGTAGTAATGACCTTCTGCTTATTGTGGTGAGGAAGGATAGACACAAAAGATGTTATTTCTATGGGGTGTTCTGAAGAAAACTGAGTGGAAATGCTGCTTAAAACTACATTTATAAGAATTTCTGACTGGCAGTATAGTTGATAACTATGTTCTCGATGTTTTCTTGTTTTGCAGCCTGCGCTGTGGCGGGTGTATGGAATTGCGTCACCGTCTATCCATTAAATATTGCGGCTGGCGTTTTTATGATGTGAGTATGCGCAGGAACTGACCAATAGGCCGTATGCTTTTATTCTACTGGGAAAGTGAAATGCATGTACAAGAATTTTGTATCTGCTGAATAATCTAGAAAGTAAAACACATCTTCCTGTAATCTTTAACCCCTGCACCCCCACTTGTGCTGTATGTGTGTATAGCATAAGGAAGGGGATAACACCATCCAGAAGCTGACCTTATGCAGACATCTTGCCATTTAGGGTTGAAACTACCCATTGACACCCTTTAACAGCCATTGAGACATTGACTTTGTTAGGCTGATGAAGGGGATAGTTGTCCTCGCAACGCATTCCATACAACAGTCTTGAATATGCCAGTGGCAGGGGTGTATTTACCACAAGGCAAACAAAACGCATTTGCCTAGGGCGGTATTTTTTCAGCGGGGCAGCACTGCCCCTTGGAAGAAGGGACAGAAGAAGGGACACACGTGGCATGGGGACCTGGTGGGTTCCGAGAGAGGCTATGGGTTTCATGACGGTGTATGCACAGCCTGACTCTTGTTCCTGGGGATGTCCAGAGCTGTGAAGGTGAGTGTCTTTTTTTCTCTCGCCATAGGGGATGGTGGCTGGTGTATGGGGGGGCAGTGGTAGTGGAAGGCTCAGGTGGAGGGCAGGGGTGCTCTTGGCAATGTCAGGCTCTTTCTGTGGGGGGGGGTATGGCACCAATTTTTCTGTTGCCTAGGGCAACACAAAACCTAAATACACCACTGGCCTTGGTAGGAGGAAGCAGGAGGCTGAGGGTGAGAGGTGTATGCTGTCCAGTGCATAGAGCACCCGTGGAGAGATCTCAGAACAGCAGTTGGGAAAAGGAAGCCTTCCAATCCAAGAGGCCTGGAGCAGTTGGAGAAAGAAGAATGGTCCAGAATTCCAGTAGAGAAGTGTAAGAAACTCATTGATTTTTAAAGGAAAGCGATTGATTTAAGTTATTTTTTTCCAAGGGGTATGCTACCAAATATTAAATTGAGGGTGCCAATAATTTTGTCCAGTCCATTTTTGGGGTTTTGTGTGGAATGTCTCAGATTTGGCTTTTTGTTTCTCCACTTTTTTGTCTCATACCAATACAAACAAAAGAAATAAACTTGAGAATGCCTACACATTTGAAATTGCAACAATTTTCTGGGCAAAGTGGTGCATTATCTGATAGAAATTCAGGGGTGCCAATATTTTTGGCCATGACTGTATAACTGAAAAATAATCCATATCCCTGTTGCTCATGAAACTCCGGGTCCCACGTAGGATGGGTCCATGGGATGGGTTTCCCAGTGCCGAATTTATGCAAACATCACAGCTTGCCCTAACCATTGTTTATCACTAGGGGGCCCCAGGACTCACAGCTTGCCTAACCATTGTTTATCACTAGGGGCCCCAGGACTCAAATAACAGTCACTGTACCAGTGTCTCTGTATTAAGCAGAACCAATCTGTGAATCACTTTTGGTGCAAGGTGGGCTCACACTTGTAGTTTCTCAGTAGCTTCAAGGCCACCCTTTGACTGTAAGTACAAGTAATCTGAATAATTGCAAATAAATTACTTTTAAGTGTAAGAGAGCTCCTGATAACATTTACAGGCATATATAAATCTTCACACCTGAGATTCCACATTTATACCACTTTGCTGTGCAGGCTTTGTCAGCCATCATTTTAGACCAAAGGAGGCTACGTCTTGGCAGCTTGCAGTATTTGTACAGGGAATACTGGACAGGTAGCTGGATATCTTCACTAACTATACATTTTCATTTTAAAGATCTTGTGATATTTGTAAAAGTTGTACTTATTTAGGAATATTATGATTTGCGCTAAAACAATTCTATGTGTAGTGATCTTTTTAGCTGACTGTCATTTATTTTGACCCTTGCAGGGTGAATGCACTTGTTCTGTTTCTCTGCGAGGCTCCATTTTGCTGCCAGTTCATCGAATTTGCAAATACTGTCGCCAACAAAGCTGACCAATTGCGGCCTTGGCAGAAAGCCCTGTTTTACTGCGGGTATGAAACCAGAGATGGAGACTAAAATGTGTCATGCACCCAATATATAATATCCCCTAGATTGAATAAAAATTGTGTAGTATCAGAGCCTGGTCAAACATTCTGTTCAGTCGGCAAGCAGGATACTCTGGGTAGGTGATGATGATTTTTTTTTTTTCTAGAAATTTTAAAGGTACATTTTGACCAGCCATCATTATTAAATATGGTGAAATTTAGTTATTTTAACTCTAGAATTATTTTAACAATTTTTCTACAAAAAAGTTTCAAATAAACTTTTAGATTTTACTCCCCTTGAGGGTTAGGGACTGATGTGAATGTACAATATATATGTAAAGCGCTGAGTAACTGACGGCGCTATATAAGTACCTGAAATCAATAAATAAATAAATAAAACACAAGCATTTTCCTATTCTAGTTATGAGGTCTGACCTGCCCCCTTCTTCTCCTCTGCTGCACTTTCCTGGGACGAGACAAATGCAAATGGAGGGAAGATTGCCCGACCTCTTGTTCTCTGCATTCCTCTTGTCCAGAGAAAGTGCTCTGAGCCTAGACAAGCTGCAATTACAAAGCAGCCGCCTCCTTCTGTTAGCTGTTGTTGGAATGGCTGCAGCAAGAAAGGGGGGGGGGGCAGATCAGACCCCATAGCTAAGGGTTAGGAAGCACCTAGGGCAAAGGGCAAAGTGCAGAACAGTGAAAAGAAAATGTAAATGATAACTTCTTTTATACTGCTTATCCTGCTGCCAGTAGCCCCTGTTTAGGAAATGTTACAAAATTTATATTTGGTAACTAGTTGCTCCTGAGAGACTCAGCTAATACAATGTATTCATGTTTGTTTTACATTTTAACAAATATTGATGTTGAAACACATGCGAAACATTGCCGTTAATGACAGCTTCTATCAGACAAATTGGTATGCCAACTGTCCAACTCATGATGGATTCCAGCAGTAGCATGGATGTAGCCTCAGTAGAGAAGAATTCTAGGACATACGAATTATGTTCTAGAGCTCTTAACTGGTCATAGTTTAACTCCTTGAGAACAGCGTAATGCATATTGAGCGTAATGCGTAAAGCTACATTACATGTCACTGTGTTGTTCAAGGGAGGGCTTAATTGACAGCTCCAGAATGGTCATGGACAGCTTACTGTCATCTACTAGTGATCGGTAGGACAGGCTCCTGATTATGTCACCACTGTCAAGCAATTTACATATATTTATTCACATTTGTCCTTGTTTACTGCAGGATGGCGCTGTTTCCCATTTTCCTCAGCTTCACAATTACCACCCTCTTTGGTAATGCTATCGCCTTTGCGACTGGAGTCTTGTATGGGCTGTCTGCACTGGGGAAGAAGTAAGTTGTTCTGGATAAAAGTCATATATTCTTCTTTAGATGCATATTTCAGTTTTTTTTTGTGGCTGCTTTTTTACATTCAGTCACTTGCCAGCTTCTTATATCTCTGGAGGCTCCAATCGTGAGATATCTCTAACAGAATTCCTCATTTTTCCAACTGTCACAGCTGTTTCCAATCCAAATAATGATTGCCAATGGGTACTGCATGAGTAAGTGGTATTTTTATGCACGCCAGCCACATAACATTGTTTTGTAATTATAACATAACACTGTTTTATTTAACCTCATACTGTTTTTATTGTATTCCTGTCCAGGGGCGGACTGACAACTCATGGGGCTCCCGGGCAATAGGGGATCATGGGGCCCCTGTGCCCTCGCCCACACCCAAAAAAGCCAATGAAAGGTACCAGGGGCATCTCATGGGGCCCCCTACCGACCCTGGGCCCTCGGCCAGTGCCCGAGTTCTCGAATGGTCAGTCCACCCCTGTTCCTGTCTATCTTGATGTAATGATAGCTTTATGTGGTGTGTTAGCGTTCACCACTGGAAGACTGATGCCGGTAGTTTTTGGCACAGAGGTCTTGGTGTAAAGAGATGCCCAACCCTATGAACCTCCTAACACTAACCCTCCCTATAACCCCCTCAATACCAGCCCCCCTCCCCAACTCTGATAAAAAACCTGCCCCATCACCCATGCACTGAACAATGTTTATATGGTTGCTGGGATTCCTTGTGTTGAAGACCAACCCTTCCTGTGCCAGAGGATCAAAGCACTAAAGAACCGGATCCCCTTGCCTCCAGCTTTCCTTGCTCTGCTCACATTGCTGTAGTGATGAGGTGACACAACACCTTGAATAATAATCTTCCTTTTTTACAGGGGTGATGCAGTCGCTTATGCCAAGCTTCAGCAGCAGAAGAAACAGACAGATGAAGAGAAAGAGGCTGGGACATAAATAATTTAGAGCCTCACATCTAGTCTTTTAGCTTTAACCAATTCCATTTTGTTTTTTTTTTCTTTTTGTTTTTTTTTTTTCATGTGATCTTTAAAAAACTATAGGATCGTGTGAACTGTTTTACATCTGAGAATGGAACTCGTGGGAATTTTTTTTTTTTTTAGCTGATAATTTACTTTTCATAATAAGCTTCAGATATCGGAACTCTTTCTGGCAAACAATGCAAGTTTTGTCAAGCACAAAAAAAGGGAAGTCTTGCATCCATCATCTTCAGATTCCGATGGTAAATCGGCCATGTCCACATTTAAACAGGGAATCGCATATGTTACAAAGGTTGCAGACCCAGTTTTTTTATCTTTTATTTTTTTTAACTTGATAACTGAGCTGAATTTTTAACTTTCTGGATTTAGTGTTTAGTGGAATGCCAGTATGATGATCTGGTTTCATCGTCTTCACTCATTGACCATCTGCAAACGTTTAACAGATGATATCAGAGTCTGGGGATTTTGTGAATCTACTTAGCATATCATTGTCCTTGAGGTGGCTTTACTTTTTGTAATGATTTATTTAGTAATCTAAAGGTTCATCCATGTTATTGTTTGGAAAGCATTTTGAGTGCAGTGATAAATGGGAGTATCAAACCTCCTTAGACGTTGAGGACAATGCTGTGCACAGTTTTTATTGGAAATATCGTACCTGTCTGTATCAAAAAACATTCTGGGATCATTTTCACTGTTTTTAGAGACTTTGGTGGGTTAAAGATGTAACTGATGATTTGCTCTACCTTAACCTACACATAATCTATCTCCTTTTTTTTTTTTTTTCTTTTTTTTTAGTAGAGATAGGCAGCTCCATATTGTAGCTTGCCACTCTTTTACAAATAGGAGAAACATGTAGAGCTGAAATTGGGTGATATTCAGCAAAATGAAATGCTGTTATTTGAGTGGTTTGTGCTGACTGTGATTTTACAGGCGGCTGTGTCTGCCTCTTTCAGTGCTTTCCAGTACTGCCAGGTCTCTTCCTCCTGACTCAGGAAAATCTACTTGCAGGAAAACCATCATCCTTTACTCTCTGTGCTAAAAGAAATGCTTGGATACAGAGTTCATCCAGCTGGCTGGAAACTCTCTGGTTGACCTATAAAATGCCCAGTGTTTGTTCTTGGTCTGACACCTCACAAAGCTGTTTGTCCAGTTATTGCTCCAACCCTCAGCACAAACCCCCAAACCTGGAAAATTTGCATTGTGGAAATATTGATTTTGCATTAAAACTAAGTGCTAACATTGGCCCAAATGAGCAGTGCTGAAGTCTCAGTGAGTTCAGCATTTATCCTGAAGTCTGCCTATGAGGGCAGTGTGTAGTCACTTTTTTATTGAGGAGGTGTGTGAGTAGCATTTTCATAATGAAAGTGCAGGTATCCTTTAACATGGTCTTTCTCCCTTGTCACTGAAAGTGAATGAAGGATTGGTCTTTACACACATGGATTTTCCAACAAGTTGAAAATTCTTTATGACAGCGAGCTGCCTGGGCCATTGAAAGGGCTTATTTTTGCCTTTTTTAAGGTAGTCCTAATCAGGCCAGTCACCTTAACTGTACATTGGATCCCCGCAGGCAGAGTCTCTATAAGCGCTCAGCACATGAGCAGTTGCCATCTCTTGGCCTCTTTGAACAGCTACGGGGCAGAGGTGGCCAGTAACTTGTATGGAGGAAGGTTTTTGTCTGTCCTCAGAGTGACATAAACAGACATGAGAGAGGCAGCAAGGCAAACACTGAGAATGCCATTGATCTTTCTTATTGCCTGTGGTAGACACAGAGATGATGGACAGTACCATTTTCTTCACTCCTGCTCCGCACTCCACCTCTCTTTATTGTTTTTCATTTTGAAAGAAAACATGACAGAGGAGAGGATAACCATTTTATCACCTTGCAAGCAGAGTTTGAAGGGCTGGTCCACTTAGAACTGGAAATTAATTTCTTAATGGACGCTGGAAAGTTTAACCAACTTTCTTCTATCCCTCAAGGACTTTGTGATCCCTGTGCAGGTCCTTGGTTCTACATAACTGCTGTTGCTGCAGCCTTTATATCTTGTCTCTACCCTCTCTTTGGATTTTGAACTACAAAATGATGGGAGAAAATTCAGCTACTCTCTCTAAGACAGCAGTCATTAAAAGTAAAGACTTAAATGTTATGAAATCAACAGCAGAATGGATTCTTATTAATTAGAATGCTAACAAATGCTGAAAAACGAATTTATTTTAGGTCACTTATAATGTATACATAGTTTAACACCTGTAATGGGACATTAATAAAGGGACATTATCCAGGAAACAATGGGAGAGATTTATAATGTTTGCTGCTCAGCAAGGTAGTGCGAAGTAAGAGCAGCATTGTGTTTTATTAGCCTGATTTGGTATAAGATTGCACCTTGTCTCCAAAATTGTCTCTCAGAAGCTCATTAATAACAGTGGTCCAGTATAAAACATAGCCAGACCAATTGTTACAGCTCTGTCTGTTTTCAAGGATGATTATGTTTTACTTTTTAAAAAAAAAAAAAAAAAATAATGCTTTAAACCATTCTTAGTATCACGAAGTTACTGAAACAGTATAACTTGGTCCTAGAGAATACACCATCATTGACAGGGCTGTAACAAGCTTGGGGACATAAGCAGTGGGGTCTGTGGCATATTTTACCCACCTCCCCTCAAACTTTGTGTTCTAAATGTACAGAGCGGAAAGCTAGACAATACCACCTTGATCAATGGCAGATGGGCTTTCGTAAAAAAAAAGGTACCTTGATATATTTTATTTTTGGCAGGAGTATCCAAGAATGTTTAGTGTAGATTTGTCTTAATTTTAAAATTGAAACTATCCTTTAATTTTTAAATGTCATAAGTATGGAAAATAAATGTTGTTGCAGATGTTTGCAAAACCATTGTGGCTGTATATCTAGGACTACACAGCGTCACAGACAGGCATAAAGCACATGAAAATCCTTCATGATTAAGAGGCAGCGATCAGTCTCCCCTGGTGTTTTTAAATATTTTTTTTTCTAGGCGTTTGTGAGATATGTTTTAGATCTTTCTTAAATTGTATCTTGTTTTTTATTAACTGATTTTTTTTTTTTGGTGTGTGTGTGTGTATTTATACCTTGAAAAGGATGACCTAAACTAACATTTACTAGGATCAGACCTTGCAGCTGAGTGATGTCTCAAGTTCATCAGTGATCACATTCTCAAATTTTGGGGTTGGAAAATAAGGCAGAGGAAAGGGTGACCTCCAAGTGTAGTAGCCTGTGACAGCCAGGCAGCAGTTTCCTGTACATCAGTGTGATATGTTTGGTTGCCCCACATCCTAGCTGCTCTCTGCTTTCTTAATGAAACTTGGAGAAGTCAGTAATTGTATTCAGTAATGTATTGTTGCATGAGGCTAAAAACTAGATTAAGCCATACACAAAGAGATCTTGTGATCTTTTTTTTTTTTTTTTTTTTTTCAAGCGGTATCAATAGAACTGAAGCTTCTCTTGTAGTAATCTGGTCATAAACAAGTAATTGAAGTGTGTGTTTGGAAATGAGGAACCAGGGGCAGACTGACCATTTGGAAACTCGGGCACTGCCCGAGGGCCCGGGGTCAGTAGAGGGCCCCATGAGATGCCCGTGGTACCTTTTTCATAGGCTTTTTTGAGTTTGGGCAAGGACACAGGGGCTCCATGATCCCCTATTGCCCGGGGGCCCCATGAGTTGTCAGTCTGCCCCTGTGAGGAACATCAACCTTGCAGGCTGCTATCCTTTAAAAGTAAGCTTCTGTAAGAAAATGTGTGTCTGTTAAAAGGAATAGACAGTGATGGGAAAGAGGGAGTTCACCCAATCCAATTTTTGAACAAATGTTTTTTTTTTTTCTCTTTTAGTCTTTGCAAAAATACTCCTGTTAATGGAGATCTTTAAAGGCAACTTCCACCAAAATGATAAATGTCTGTATTTTGGGTGTGGCTCCACATGGTGCTACCCTTTGTCAAATCTTTATTTCTCTGTTGCATTTCTACTCTGGGCACAGTGGGAAACCATTAGGAAGGTCCTTTTATCTGGTTAGCAGAGCTAGTTATTACCAGCCTGAGCTTTCCATGTATTACCATGATAAATCCACTAGGGGGCGCTAGGCACAAGAATACTGTATACTGTGCCTTCTGGTGAATTTCCCATAGAAATATTGTATACAGAAAGGTGATTGTAGCCGTATTAGTGCATTTGCGACAGAAACAATTGAGTACTGTCCATGATACTTTTTTTATTTGCACTAACATACAATTTTGAGGACAAGCTTTTGGGGTATGTCCCCTTCTTCAAGGTCCAAGCAGTACTAATCACAAAGTTTTAGCAGAATGTTAGAAGAGATGTGGGGGATGAAAAAAAAAAAAAGGGACTAGAGATCTAGTCTAGATCTGTGTTTTATCTCTAGTCTCTTTTTTTTTTTTTTTTCATCCCCCACATCTCTTCTAACATTCTGCTAAAACTTTGTGATTAGTACTGCTTGGACCTTGAAGAAGGGGACATACCCCGAAAGCTTGTCCTCAAAATTGTATGTTAGTGCAAATAAAAAAAGTATCACGGACAGTACTCAATTGTTTCTGTATACAGAAAGGAAAATTGTGAGCTCTCTGTGTGTCACAGCTTGGGGGGAGGACTCCATTTTGCTATTAAATTAAAACAAATACATAAGAGGGTGGTGAAAACCGCCCAACGAATTATTGGTGTTCAGCTTTCCACGTTGGAGGACATTTACAGAAAACGCTGTGTACAAAAGGGGAGGGGCATCATTAATGATGCCTCTCACCCTAACCATTGACTGTTCATACTCCTTCCATCGGGCAAACGATACAGGTGTCTCAGAGCCCGTACAAATAGACTCAGTTTTTTTCCTGTGGCTGTTAAAGCATTGAACAGCTAATCATTAGACAATATTGCATTACTGTAGATTTTATTCACCATTGCATTACTGAATGTTTCATC